TGTAAAATCTGAAGCGGATGACAATGTTAAGGATCAGAATATGGATGACCGCAGAGATGATTGTATGATAGTAAACAATGATGAATTTATTTCTAGTGATGAAATAACAGCTGATTTTGATGGTCAAAGTGACAATCATTCAAATTGCGAAGAGGAAAAAGAAAAAAGTTGTGAGCTGTTATTGATAATGAAAATTTTGCATTTTCTATTAGCATTACAATCTTTATTTTATATTTCGGAAGCCGCTGTAGCATACGTTGCATCAAATTTGGCTGATATACTAGAATGGATAATCGATCACGGTGACGTAAGTATAGACATACATTAACTCTTAAACTCATGTGCTTTGTTGTATTATATAGGCTGTTCGTGAGAGTGTGTTTTTTTTACGACGTATGGAATCTGTAAACAATAGGTTAGCAGCAGCTGAAACCTATTTTACATACAGTTCTCCAACAAACGATTTTTCTCGGGTTAGCTAAACGTAATTCAGAAGTGTACTTTGGTGTTATGCATATTTTCTTGTGCTTTAGATTCCAGTAGATGACGAGAAATTTATAAATGTCAGATGGAGTTGTCTACCTTTCCTCAATAATTTATCTCAGTTTTTAAAATTACCTGAAGTTCAAGACGATTTGAATCGAGCAATAACCTCAACGTATCCTGTGATGACAGATGTGTCTGATGGTAGTTTTGCGCGTTCGCATCCGGCATTTAAAGATCATAACTTTCTTAAAATAGAGCTCAATTCAGGTACGAACATATTATGAACCTCGAGCTCATTTGCTTCACTTTTTATGTTTTAGATGATTTGAATATCACAAATGCGGTTTCACATAAAGTACACAAAGTATTTTTCATTTATTGGACGTTGTTAAATCTAAAACGAGATCACCGATCCCGACAAGTATCGAAACGTCTAATAGCTGCCTGTGATTCATCAGCACTTAAATACGGTTTATTAGACCAAGTTCTAGGTGACGGTGTTGAAGAATAGAACTTCTTCCTTATAATTATTTTGTATGTTTTTAAATCTGTATATAGCTGATTTTCTCCAGAGCATAACAAAATTATGTCGAGATGGTATTCGTGTTATGATAGAAGGAAAAGAAAAATATTATCGTGGTGAGTATTTCTTCTATCTGGAGTTCTCGTCCTTGACGAAACTTCCACGGCTGCTCAACGCGAATCTTCTAGGCGCATTATTTTTCACAATTGGTGATTATCCAGCTCAACAAGCTATCCATGGTAAAAAAGAATCTGTATCAGCGTCAAGATTTTGTCCATGTTGTGATGTTATGAGTGATAACTATATTGACAGTATAGATCAAGTAAAAACTTGAAATTTTGTTGCACTGTGTCGCAAATATGTTTGTAATTTATGTTTTAGATGCCCACTCATTATGCAGCTGAACAGTACGACGATGCATGCAAAACTATCGAACAGATGAATGATGGGTGCAGCAACAGTTTGCTGGAGTTTTGGCAAAAGCTCTACGGTATAAACAAAAGAAGTATGTTTTCAGTTTTACCACATTTCGATGTGACAATTCAGGTATTATTCGATCCTATGCATATTCTGCTACAAGGTATTTAATTTCAAAACATTTTCTTACTTTTCAGCTTATGTGAATGTCATACTCATTTTAGGTGTGTGCAAATTTCACGTTAATGCTTTTTTGGGTTATTGTGCACGTAACAATCATTTTATTATGAAACAGTTCTGCGATATTGTGAACAACTTTACTTACGGCATAGAAGAATCATCATCGAAACCTCATCTTAACATCAAGCTTGATGATTTAGGGTCGCCAAGTGGAGGTACGGAAAAAGGTGTTAATGCCCATATCAAAATTTTCCGAGGAGTCTGTATAGACGGACGCTAGTGAATCGTGTTCTGCATACTTGCGTGGTTTGAATTTTGTTTATTTTTTGTCTCCTCTTTCCATGTGGAGCGGGCTCTTCGTGCCGGAAAGAGATCAACGATGTTACACTTAGTGCATGTAAGAAAAATAGAATTTTAAACAGACTAGAAAAAGCAGCTGGAAGTCTGAATAATACAGAACAAACGTCAAACCGAAAAAACATCACTAAGAGTAACATCGGCTAACACTCCACCTTAACGTGTACTTTCGTAGATAGTTAATAATCCCTTTATTCTATTCTAGACTCTCATTCCAACCAATCAAGGATCTCTCTGTGTGAAGAACGCCAGCTGTAGCTAAGTGGGTGCACTTCAGTTGCGTTCGGTATTTGCACAATACAGTTGTCTGTTCTGATTCAGAGACGACAACCCTAATTACACGCTGAAAAATGGCGAAAGAACTCGATTCACAGCAACAGAAATACTGATACCCATGCTTTCACACGAGAAAATGTTCTCAAATCTGAATAGGCATTCCACGTTGTTATAAGATGATTTCTCGTCTTTGTATTTAGGATTACCATTAGATGCTATGCAGGTGTATTATCTATACATTAATCTTCCACATATTCTTCGCACTTTGTTATTTAATTCTAAATTTGAGCATTATGATGCGATTTTATTGTTAGTGGATATTGTTAGTTTATGTTATGCGTCAGAAGTTGATGAAATATCGGTCAGACAACTTGAAGGTGTTATTTTGCATCATAATCATTTAGTCAGAAAACTTTATCCAAACACTCTCAAACAAAAGTATCATTTTTTATTGCATTTACCTCGTCAAATGGCACTTTTTGGTCCGTTAAAGTACACGCAATGCCTTGCATCGGAAAGAAAACATCAGTTTTTCAAAGGTAAAAAACTCTGTATCTCTTGCCTTTTATCTGTATTTATTGAACGTTTTCTTTTGAGGAAATAAACATCGTAATTTCAAGAATTTACCAAAAACGTGCACAAAACGACACCAAGTTTGGCAATGTGTTACTGATTACAATGCTGATGGTTCCTCTTCATCAAATATTCTCAAAAACAAAACAATTCTTCATCGTGTCAGCCCGTTGTCACAAGATTTAAAAACAAATGTTGAATCATGGGAGTTACCGTTTACACCAACACATTTGGCTGAAATAATTAAAATTAATGGAACATCGTACTCGATCGGAACCATTTTATGTACATCAAACACATATTTATCAGATAAACCAGAGTTTGCTGAAATTATACAAATTTTCGTTTATCATGGTGAATCGATATTTGGTCTACGATTCCTCAAAATTGTGAATTACGATGCGGGAGTTAG